CCGACAACGGATCTGGTCCAGAATGGACTGGAACTCCTGTCGGTGTTCGTCCATGTCCATTTCAGTCCCGTCCCGCCCATCCGAACATGCGATGTTTGCACTGCGCGGCAGCAGCCCTTTCCCAGTGGTAGTGTTCCGCTCCGGGTCTACATTTGATTCGGCTACACGCAAGAGAGGCCCTAGGCAGGAGTGACCTTTGGTGTGCGGCATCACAGGGGACGCAAGGTGGCCAAACATGGGCGCGCAAGCCGCTGCTACCGCTTCGCGCTCAGCGTTCGAATGACCCCATTGGGCCCGCACCAAATCTGATCCGGCGAAAGTTTACTCGTAGGTGTAGCCGATTGATGGCCCATGGGCCCGGGAACCGGCCCCAGAGCGCCAGGAACAACGCCAGGATTTCAAAAACTAGCCTGGCGAAGGACCCAACCATATGCAGTTGTGAGTACCACAATTCTGGCTATCTTCTTCGGCGGCGCTCCCTATGGGGCCACGAACCCTGTGAGGGGTGTGCCGCAATGGGTGCGGCGGACGCATGTGGACGGTGGCACTGGGGCCTTCGGTGGCGAGTGAGGGGGATGCCGAAATGGGTGTGGGGGACGCATGTGCGCGGTGGCACTGGAGCCCTCGGTGGAGCTCCCTATGGGGTCACGAAACATGTGAGGGGTGTGCCGAAATGGGCGTGGGGGGCGCAATTGGACGGTGGCACTGGGGCCTTCGGTGGAGCTGCCCGTGGGGCCACGAAGCGTGTGAGGGCCTTGGGTGGAGCTCCACATGGGGCCACGACGCATGTGGACGGTGGCACTGGGGCATTCGTTGGAGCTCCCTATGGGGACACGAAGCATGTGAGGGGCGTGCCGCAACAGAGACATGTGGAGGGCATAGGCAAGGAGGGGGAGGAGGGAGGAGGGGGAGGAGGCGGAGAGGAGAGGAGGGAGAGGAACGCGGGGACCATCTCCTCGAAACAAGGACCCAACACCACAGGATGGTTGGGAAATGATGTCGCCAGGTGGCCGCTCGGGACGATCTGGGCACCCCAGGAACGCCTTGGGGCGAGGCGCAGCTGCTGGAACGCACCCCGAGGCGAGAAACCGTGCAGGAACCAGCGACACGGAGGAAATCATCCGAGCGAAAAACCCAACCCGATCTAAACAACGAGCAACAAAAAAACATGACTGCTTAATTAGAGGTCAACAAATCCACCCCCATAATTCGCGGGCCCAACGGGCCAGAGGCGTGCTAAGATCTCTGGCAACTGGTTCACAATTCTTCTAGTTCGGGCGCGCGGGGCGGCCCCTGGGGGTCCCCCCGGCGAAAAATACCCCGACCGCAACCCGGGAAGGTCCCGGGAAGGTCCCGGAAAGATCCCGGGAAGGTCTACTCAGAGATGGTTTTCCTCCTGGGTACGGCCTCTCAGACCCCCCAGAGCGCGCCAAGAGGGCCCCAAGAGGCCCCCAAGACTGCCCAAGAGGCCCCCGAGACGCCCAAAGGACGCTCCAAGACGCCGAAGATGATCCCAAGACGGCCCAAGAAGCCGCCAAGACGCTCCAAGTGGCCTCCAAGAGGCCTCACAAGATCGCCCCGAGAGGCCAAAATCATCAATTTTACGATAGTTTTGGAAGGATTTTGGCCTTGTCGCATTTTCGGCTTCCCGATGCTCCAAGACGGCCCAAGAGCCCCCAAGAGCGCACGAAGACGGCTCAAGAGGCCCCCAAGGAGGCCCCCAGAGAGCCCAAACGGGCCCCGAGACGGCCCAAGAGACGCCCAAGACGGCCCAAGAGAGCCCCAAGACGGCCCCAAGAGGGGCCCAAGATGGGGACCACGAACCGAAACCTCAAGCCTTCCGCCCCAAGAGGGCCCCTGGAGGCCCCGAGAGGCCCCCAAGATGGCCCAAGATGCCGCCAAGAGGCCCCCAAGAGACCCCAGGAGGCTCCAAGGAGGCTCAAAAGAGGCCCTACAAGGCTTCAAAAATGTCTCCCAGGCGCCCCCGAACGGCCTCTCAACAGACCCCAGGGCCTCCCAAAGAAGCATCTGGACGACGGCCCTGTTTGGCCCCAAGAGCGCCGCAAGATGCCATCGAGAGGCTTCCTCCTCCGCCCTTTTCTCTTCCTCCTCCTCCTCCTCCTCCTCCTCCTCCTCCTCATATTTATCTTCATCCTCCTCCGTTCCTTCTCATCCTCTTCTCCTCCTCCCCTCCCCCTCCCCATCCTCATCTTCCTCCTTCCGGCGGCGCCGAAATGGCCCCGAGCCCGCGCCGAAGCAGTAGCTATCATGCAATACGGGCCAGCGGGGCGGACCCTGGGGGCCCCCGGACGAAAAGTACCCCGGCTGATCCTCGGCTGGATCCCGGGCGATCCCCCAGGGGGGAGGCTTTTTGTCGCCACCCCTCACGAGGATCGTGGCCTCCGAGGGGGTGGCTGCAATCGACTACCCCCCCTCCCGCCCCAAGGGGCCCCCAAGAGCCCTCTAAGAGGCCCCAGGGGATCCCAAGACGCCGCCAAGGAGCCCCAAGACGCTCCCAAGAAGCCCCCAAGAGGCCCCCAAGACGGCCCCAAGAGGCCCCAAATAGCGCTCCAGGGCCGGCGGAATGAGCGAAGCAATTCAATAACCATTCCGACACGCGGAGTCGTTTAGAAAACGCGCCCAAAGAAGGAATCGAACAGGGCAAGGCTGTTTGGCAAACGCCCAACGCCGCTTAGTAAACGCCAATTGTCCGGTCCCGGTGGTTTTTCCTCCCTGGACCAATACACAACAAAAACACGATGCAGGATCAATCCCCGACAATTTTCGCCAAAGACTGTCCGTCCGCGGACGAAGTCCCCCATCCGCGCACACACTCTCACACGTTGACGCACAACAGGGTGAAACACGATGAAAGCGAAGCGGCCCTTGGTGGAGCTCCCTGGGGGCAGGAAACGTGTGAGGTGTGCGTGTGTGTGTGTGTGTGTGTGTGTGTGTGTGTGTGTGTGTGTGTGTGTGTGTGTGTGTGCCGACATGGGCCATCGGTGGGGCTCCTTCGGGGGCAGGAAACACGTGAGAGGTGTGCCAAACTGGGCGCTGGGCTGCCACGCGCACGCACCCACTGGGGCCGTCGGTGCAGCTCCCTCGGCGGCAGGAAACGTGTGAGGGGTGTGCCGAACTGTGCGCTGGGATGCCACGCGCACGCACCCACTGGGGCCATAGGTGGAGCTCCCCCAGGGGCAGGAAGCGTGCGAGGCGTGCGCTGAAACAGGTGCGGGGACGGACGCCATGCGAAGGCACCCACTGGGGCCATCGGTGGAGCTTCCTGGGGGAGCAGGGCACGTGTGAGGCGCATGCCGAAATGGGCGCGGGGACGCCATGCGAACGCAACCCGTGGGGACA